CACCTCAAGAGATTACCCGTAGGAATCAAAATGATGAGAGCTTTTTAGTCAAAAGATTGTTTCCCGTTGAAGACTCAACCCTCTCAGAGTTCTCAAGACGCTATAGGCAGATGATGAATAATATGAATCTACACGCCATATGGTTCACTCGGATTCAAAGATTTTGGAAAATCTCTTGTAGCTTAAAACACTGCGGATGGAATACTCCTCAGACAACGTGTCCAGTCTCCGAACTAATGTTAAGATTAAACTTTACAGATGCAAATTTAACTCAAGACATTATAGGATACGCTAGTTCAAATCATTATTATTCCTGGAAAAGCCTGAAAGAAAACTTTTGGATCCGGGGATTAGTTCAAAGATCGACTTGGATAAAGACAGGAATGCGGGTTACGCAAATACGGTACACGATTTACGCCCTTCCAACACACTTGAATGCAATATCTTTTTTAAAGATTTTTGATATTTTATCCGTTTCCATTTTAATTATCATGGGATGTTGCTCGAGCTTAATAATTTTCAAAAATAAGAAGTTCGTACACGCCCCGGTGGCATGGACCGTGAGTATTTTCCTGCAACAGGCCACACACATTGTCATCAAACCAGGAGAGGCTAAGGTTACCAGACTCCGCGTGTTTATGAATTATCTCATCGTCTTAATTTGGCTATTTAATGGTTTCTTTGTTGGAAGTATGTTTAGTGGGGAATTCTTCTCCCTCTTCACATCTAACAGGGTACCTCCGCTACCTCACAGTTTAAAGGAGTTAGTCCTAGCAAAAGACATTCCAATGTACTCATTGTCTAGAACCGTCACGAATAATAAAATAAAAGTAAGCACTGTGAAAGATATTATCATCCCAGAAATGCTAGGGGTTGGAATATTCCCGCCGGAATTTCACAAGATCTTGACTAACCTCAAAGAAAAAGTTGAATGGTTAGAAAATGAAAATCAGTTAACGATTGCCCGGTGGTTATCAGTAGATACATTGTATCATGCAAATATATCGGAAATAGTTAGACCCTCAGTCTTTGCTTTAATTGACCGCTCGTTTTTTCTCCAACGAATGGACAGTTGCTTTGGTGTGTTTCGAAAATATTTTATAATCTCTAACAACGAGGAGAATTTGGATACACAAATTCTACCTTGGACAACATCTAGAAACCCATTCGGGGTAAAATTTGAACACAATGTCGGTTACCTGACGGAAGCTGGGGTTTTAGATTATTGGGAAAAGAATTATCAAATATTTCGTTTTCTTCAAGAGGTAAGATTGTTTCATGATAAAGACATACAACTTGGAAATTCAGAAAAGAATTATACAAACTATTTACAAAAAGCAATTATCAACAGGAAGGAAAGTAACTCGGCAGAACTTGTTAGGGAAGGAAAGCCCATTGGGCTGGTCAAGATTAAAATGCTATTTCTGCTTTATGCTTTTTGTGTCGGAATTGCCGCGCTTTGTTATATTGTGGAAAAATATCAATTTATTAAAAAATTCCTGCTTATGATTTTAAAAATAAGGTAGGGATAGTCACGATTTGAATGACTGTTGAACGGTGAAGTTATGGATAATAGTCCAACTTGGGGAGCTACCCTGGTTGAAGAGTAAGGACGTTTACTTAGGGCTCAAAAATTTACTAATCCTAAGCTAGGAATAAATCCATTTCTAGTAATTTTTCGCCCAAGCACATATTTTTCTGATGTTTAATTAAAAAACCGTGTTTCAAAAATCAATGTTTTAATATTTGCTGCTATAAAATAAAATGGCAAGATGATGCCGATTTAAAATATGAGCAATGAATAATTTTCAACATTTTGATTCATACGCAATGTTAAATATTTAAAATATGTACATACAAGGAAATAAGTTGAATAAGTTGTAAAACAAATCAACTGTCAAATAAATAAATTAACTAAATCAATTAAATCGGGGTCGATTTTAAACAGCGTTAATAACGCTGTTTAAAAAACAAACATCTACCTAAAGCCTGCAATTGCACAAAAATGTATAAACATCAAAGTATAAATAAGATTTAAATGTTGTAATTTTTCTAAATGCTAATTTAGTTAAGAAATATTTGGTCTACTTCCTCACCATTTCAGTATTTTAGCGCCAAACATTTTTTCAAAATTCACTACATGAGTTACATTCCATTCATTTTTATACATTCTTGTGTAATCTTAGGCATTTTTATGTAGTTTTATACATAAATCCAGATGAATGCATCATTCATGTACAGATGAGCAGCTTGTAAAGACTGGGCTAGCTGACACCAACCTTGGCGGATCTCGGTTAGAGAACGCCCATATACATGTATTACGTACACTCTTAGAACGCTGGTAATAAAAATGCATACTCGTTTATTACCGAACGGTTGGTGAACATAAATTTGCCCGTGGCAGTAATAAAATTTTTTATCAAAATTCATTATACTAATATCATATTATTAGTTAAAGGTATTATCGAGAAAACCAAACCGTTACTATAAAATTACCAAGTTATGGTAATTTAGTACTGCAGTGAGAGAGCATGAATAACGCTGCGCGGTATTAAATCCTATAGCTAGTGGGTTGTGAGTTAAAACTTACATAGATAGATATATACAATGAGAACGTGTTTTTTCGCCTTCGAACGATTTTCGAGTTTGATGGCTTAAAATTTGCGTAATTTTGTATACATAAAGAATCTGAAATAATATTGGGGGGGGGGGGGGTACATGGACAGTTTTCCCGATACGAGCCAAAACGTGCGAATTTTTTGCAAATTCTGAGTTTTGTCTCAGAATCGTCCAAATGTGGTGAAATATCACTGGAAATAATTTAAGAAATTATTTTGTATGAGAATTTACTCTTCTTATGAGGATCTTACTCTTCCACGATCGAATTACAATATTTATTACAAGTTGTTGGCGTATTGTTCAATTATCTATACACAATAGTTGTATACATACATAGCTGGCCGATTCGCTTATACATATGTACTTTGTTAATACATGCTCTGGGAAATATTTTTTTTGCAAACGCAATAATTATGTTAACTCGCACTTATGTACACCGCAACATGCAGAAGAGCACGAGGACTCCATCTCCCCATTTAGAATTCTTTTGGAACCAAAATATTGGTTCTTAAAGGTAAATTTAAAATTGAAATCAGTGGCAATATTAAAATAGTGTGTCTCATATCACCCCACGAAATTCTTGGGTTGCAACTCGTTACCCATCCTAGTCTCACAGCACCCCAGCCCAGTCTCACAGTACCCCTGTCCAGTCTCACATTACCCCACTAGATGGCGCCAAAATATTTAAAGTATGATGACACGAAGGACTTACTGTGGGGAATAACAAGAGAAGTAAGGATTTAGTGGCAAATGTTGAGCGAGTAAAACAAGTACCCATTTTTCGGCCTTTTGGCTCAGTGGTCTGTTGCGTTGGCTGGAAACGAGACGTCGTGGGTTCGAATCCTACAAGGAGCATATGAATATTTTTGCAAATTATTTACTTTTTTAAATTTTAATTAATTCATTTTCTTATCTAATTAATAGAACTGCTTAGGATTCGAACCCACGACGTCTCGTTTCAACAGACCACTGAGCCAAAAGGCCGAAAAAACTGAACCGCAGCGTAGATGGGTACTTGTTTTACTCGCTCAACGTTTGCCACTAAATCCTTACTTCTCTTGTTATTCCCCACAGTATCAGTGAGGGAAGCCACACGCATGCTTCGTTCACGCGATTGAGCGAAGTGAAGGGCAACTAGACTGGAGGTGAAAGCAGAGCCGTTGCGAGATATTGTATGGCCTGGATTTCTTGTGCAGTGTACGGCCTATGGCTTTATGGATTAGTTTTTGTTTAATTAACCCATAATATTGGGGGAGTATAGGATAATTAGCTCTAAATTTTAAATGTATCTAAGCGATCTTCTAAGATTCAAGCAGAATATTTACATAAATCATGTTTATCGATTCTGCTGATAACCTATGCGTGGCGGAAAATAATTACAAAGCTGTCTTAGCTTACATATTCTCCAGGCTTATGTTTCCCTGATTAGAATAGTCCGAATTTTTAAGAAACAATGAATTTTGGGAGTTGATTTGAAGCCTTCTAGCGTCAAGCCTTGTAAATCCCATTTTCACGGTCAAAATGAGCGAAGTTGAGTGAAGGCAAAATTCACTTGCACAGGTACGGTTTGGAGTGAAGGTTACCGCGGCCGAGTACAACGCATTAAACTCGATGGACTCGTCATACGCTCCACACAAAAGTCGTCATAACTTGACGACAAGTGAATTTAATACAGAAATTACTTCACTTTACGTCAAAAGTTATACCTTGTGCCCATTTTAGTATAGGTGTCAACCTTCAACTCGTTTGACACCTCGGTAGCTTCCCTCGTTAGAGTTATCGTGTATGCATACATACACAGACGAATGGGCGGAGTAGATGGGTAAGTACATACGTTCTGACTTTGGCTAAAAAACAACTAAGCATGATAACAGCCTCTCCCACATCTCAATCATCAACAGGATGACAAGCACCATTTCATTATATTAGCATGGAATGTGTCAACGTGATTACCACATGATGCATGCATGATTAATAAATGACACATGAATTCAATAACAGATTAAATTAATAATATGATGAAGTCACGCCTGGTAAATTCCGTTGCGATGTGGCAATTAAATCAAGTGCTTTAATTTGCAGAGTGCAAAATTGACCACGGCCTTATTGTTGATTGCATGACGCACTTACTTATTAACCTGAACTAGGTAGCGTGTCTCATTTTCGTGTTCAAGTGTTTAATTAATTAAATCATGTTTTAATTGATGGATGATGATACAACTGCTTTGTTAATTTATTTATAATTTTGCACACCCAAACTCGAACAAAGTATTTAAACCCCAACTCCGAACCCGATTTACCCAGTCGTTGCTGTTTACCATTTCCAGCCATTACCAAGATTTTCCTTATTTCACAAATTTAACGTAACCAACACTTTCGTCATGATTGCTGTCGGGTTGCTGGCTCTTGTGGCATGTAGCAGTGTTGTTAATGCTCACACTGCGGCTTTTGCACATGGCATGTACTGCCATGGTGGACCCAATCCGGGTCACGATGACCAAAACACGAACACTGCTGTCGCTCCAGTCTACAATTTACCCAGATCGCAATGGTGGTTTCAAGCCGACCGAGGCTGTGACAGGGTCCCACCTGCGCCTGGCGTTTTTCTTGAGCTGCCTGCTGGTGGTACTTTTACTGTCGAGCTGGCCCACAACAGAGCTCAAACCACGCTGTCGTACGATGGACAGTATACCTCCCAGTGGCCCGACGGCGGGGAACACCCTGAAGATTGGAAGGGAACAGGTAATCCTCCCGGCTGCATTCCGGAAGACGGGGCCTTGCACACAAATAACCAGAGCATGGCGGCGGGGACGGCCTTTGCCATCAGTTACGTGTCTGACATATCCGCCGTGACTATGGAGAATTTAGTCGTTTTTACTGTTCTCCCCAAGTAAGGAAAAACAATTGGAAAATTTCCATACATTATATTAACATAACAAATTCTGTCGGTTTCTAGCACCCCATGGAAACGTATTGCCACCTATGCCGTCCCTCGCGACCTTCCACCTTGCCCAGCCGATGGTTGCACTTGTGCCTGGCTTTGGGTTCCAAAAGGATGCGGAGAGCCTAATATGTGAGTGAATTGAAAGCGGTGAGACCATTTAATGCCAACCAGGTGAAATTAAAACCAAATGGGGTTGTTACTACTCTTCAGGTACATGCAAGGATACAAATGCAAGGTGACAGGGTCCACCTCCACGAGGCGACTTGCCCCTGCCCAACCTCCCAGGTACTGTCCCAACTTCAACGATTGTACCCGGGGCGCCAAACAGATGATTGCGACCCGACGTAAGCTTAAAACTAAGGCCATTATGAACAGTTTAGCAGGATGATGGGTAATTCATATATATCAAATGTTAAATACAGAGGCTGAGGGCAACAATGTTGAGGTTCCCCAAAATGACTTTGTGTCATACAGCGAGGTTTGGGGTTTCTCACCAGGTTAGTTGTAAATAATGCTACATAGAAATTATGCGTGACTACAAGCTTGGGGTGATGTGTTTCAGGTGCCCAGAACGATATTTTTGTGTAAGGACGAAGTGTGGCCGGTAGCCTGCCTTTTGGCTATGGCCAATTTAATCTTTATGAATCGTTAACCTTCCCTTGACTATAAACAAATTGTTTTATGTTGCAAATTAAAAAAAACATTCTGCTTAATTTATCTTTGAGGCATATTTCTGGTCATACATATTTATTTGTGCAGGAAAAGTGCATGTAAAGACAAGAAGTTTTCATTTTTTTAAGCTACATCCAAAAAACGACCCGTCTCGGCTTAAAGGCTGTTAACTGTTTCTCCTTCTTCCACAGAGTGGGTCCATCCTTGAGGAAATATTTATCAAAGATCTCTCCTGCTCGGCCGGAATCTGTCATCCCTGTGATTCTAATAAGTAAATCACATCGTTATGAATCTTAAACTAAAGTCTGCCATAAATGTATGTACAATTCAGGGTCACGTATGCGTACAAATCCATGCAAATTGTTTTTCATATGTATTTTACAAAACCGTCGGTACACACTGGATATGTAACTTGTAAAACACAATGGGGACATTCATTACGAACTTGCATGTTCGCAGCACAAAAAAAAATTTACAAAAAAAAAATTTCAAGTAAATACTACCGCTAGAGATGCGCAAATTTGCAGGTGAATTTTCAAGCTTTTCAAGATTTTTTTGCGAATTTACCCCCTTAATTTTGTTAACGATTCGAATTCGGAACGAACCGTATGAAGACATACTGAGGGTAGCCCATATCCGTGAAAACGAATTTGGCCTTTAATATCTTTGGCGCTAGTAGGAATTTTGAATTGAAATTTTTACAATTTGTTCACCTTATAGTCAGCATTATGAGTGCAAAATTTCAATTCGCTAGTCTAAATGGCGCCAGAGATATATGCATACGAAAAAATAGTTCTGTTCTAAAACTTTCTAAAACTGCATAAATTTTAAGTTTCAGAATATTTTTAAAACCTTCTAAAATCGTGAATTGTTTATGGAATTTTATGTATATGGTATGCAAATTTCTGGCATCTATGTGGCTTTCATAAATAACTCAAAATTTCCCCATGTTTTTTTTTAATTCATTCCATACCAGGTGGATTTTTACAAAGAAAGCGAGAATAAAGTTTGTTTTTGTGTTAAATGGAATTTTATAAATCAAAATAGCTGAAATTTTTTCATGTTTATTATTTTAGCAGTTAGAGGAGACATTACTGATGGTAATGCAAACCGATTTTGTACTAAAAATATTTAATTTCGTGTAATGGAGGTACTTGGGAAAAATTGGCGAAATTTTCACAAATTTGGGGCTGTTATAGCTTTTACTCTGAAACTCTACCTAGCTATTTTTTTATCAAAATTTAAACTGCATTGTGTACTACGGACATGGGCTCACACAATTTGCTATTTTCTGACATTTCTAGCCTATCAGGAACTGCTCCATGTCCTATTATCGGGTAATTTATGTCTGGAACAAAAAAAGTCATCATTGTTTTACTTTGGGGTTAGTTGAAGGTCTGCTTTTTACACTAGAAAATTGAAAAATTTTGCACCTACAATACCAACGCTAGTGCCTATTAATTCACAAAATTTCAAGTTGGAATTACTACCAGTGCCAAAGATATTAAAGGTCAAATTCGTTTTCACGGATGTGGGCTACCCTCAGTACATAACGACGCATGAACTCTTTACTCGAAAACGCTAGGATGCACTCTTAGAAATAATTTAACCCTTTTGAAAAGTAATCGCAATTGTAAATTAATTAAACTATAATAAATTCAAAGTAAAGTTAATAAAGAGCAAACCATACACAAGATTTTTTACTTTACTTAATTTATAATTGAAGTCGCGAATACTTTTCAAAAAAGTTAAATTATTTCTAAGATTGTTTAATCAATAATCTCTCACCTGTCGTCCAACTCGTCGGCGCGCTTTTTATCAAACGATTTGGGGAAGCCGATCCCCAAAGAAATATTTTATCTGTGGTCTCCCACCACGATTGACTCGAAATGGACGGCCGCCTTTACGTCGGGTGACAAGGTGGGTTGATTGAAAATTGCGAGTGCCAGATCAGTTTTCTGAAAAGAATGAGCCCAGTAAGAGCACAAAATCTTTATAAAATACATACTTCGCTAAAACAAGGGTATTTGAGGCTGGCTAATTTGAGGCATAAAATTTTCAATATTTTTCACACATATCAAAATATTCACATTAGTGGTACTCACGTCAACATGATACATGTAAGTGTAGATTTCGTACATATTTATATGCAAAATACTAGCCGTGCTTTTCTTAAGTTTGCAAAAATTCGAGGGAAAAAATATTTACTTAAGAATTTCGAAGCGGGATGGGAAAGTCATTTCAAGTTTACTACGGATTTCTTAACCTAAATTTTGTGAAAGGGGATGACCTCGTAAATTTTACAAACTTTGAGGTCACGTTGCCATTGAGAGGTTTATAGTTGACTGTGAATTCCCTATTAAAAACTTGACAAACTTGACAAACTGACTTGCAGTGGGTGGTTGAATTTTATGAACAAGAAAATTTAAATCATACATTTCCAGCGAGGTGATCCATGATCGAGTTTTTCGTCCAAGTTCCGGATTTAAACCGTCCAACCGAAGTGACCTCCGTGATTGTGCAATTGTCCAGAAACTTCCCGACTTCGTCCGCACTGCGCAAAAGGTCGAACAAGATCCCGGAATAGCAGGGACTGTGGCGGCAGGATGACTTGGCCACCGTCTTCTCGGAGGAGAGGCACGACGCGTTCGAAATTACCCAAGGATGGTCCTTTCACGTGCGGATAAATATTTACATAAATCTTAATCATAAACTTCATTACATAAACTTAACGTAATATTCGCTAAATTACATTGGAAATTGAAATATTTATGTAGACGAATGCACAAGGCCATTAAATGGCGTTGAGCGTTTAATTTTGACTTGATTAAAACTTATTGAAAAATGGACATGAGAAAATTCTGGTGGAGGGTCTTTCTCTTAGCCATGGTTGCGAGAAAATGTCTTTTAATTCCATTAAATAAAGTATTTAAAAAAGATATTTAATTTGCTGGCTGTGCGATCTGTGGGGAAATGTGGGACAAGAGTTGACTAGGCTTGCATAACAATAAAGGGAGGGTAAGTTTCGAAATTTCTGTTTTGCTGGGCGAAACCTCGCCCCCAAATTGTCACACTTCCGCGACCACTGTAACTAGTTCTGTTTGAACTTAAGTAACTTAATAACCGCATGCTTGAAATGGTGATACACATTTTTTCAAGAGGCATTTTTAACGAAATTTGTCAAATATCATTATTGATAATATTGACAGATGCTTAGTTACCTCAATGGTAGAAATCCGTTTTATTTGCACGATATCTGCAAGCCATAAAGTCAACATCATTTATTGCCCTCTCCAACACATTGTGGGCAACCATCCACACCCACCTCGACAACGGAGCTCCCATTGGGCCACCACCGGAGCCATGTTGGGCCGACATTGGCAGACCCCTTTCTGACAATACATCCCATGGACTTTACAACTTGATGTGGAATTACAATGTGGGGCCAAATCATCGGAATGCGATCCCACTGGCGAGTAACATAAAATATTTACATAATTACAGCAAATAATTATCTCATTAATAGTTACCTTAAATCATTCAAGATATATAATTTAAACCATAAGACGCGGATGGTTTTTTCTAATCAATTTATTAGTGTTTTAGTTTTTTTTGAATTTTGTGCAGCGCTATTCACAGATTTTGTAGTACATAGTGCATGTACAATTATAAATACAATAACTGCACTCCAAATAAATAAAGAACCTAATGAAGTTTGAGCGAAATTGATATAACTTTGGACATATTCCAATCAATCGTTGCGCTGTCGCAAATTTTACTCGTCGTTGAGTAAACTTGGATTACATTTATGTAGAGAGTACAGAGGTGGGCAAGATCATTATCTCAGATACCAGATCAAGAACAAAGATCAAGATAATATCTTGATCTTTGATCTTCGGCCAGAGATTTTGATCTTGATTTTGATCTAGCTCGGTAAGATCTTCTATCTTGATCTTGATCGTCAAGTTCAAGATCAAAATCCCAAATAAGCATTTTGAAACATACTGATAATTTTTGAAAAATAGCGCCTTGGTCCATTGCTCAAAGTGCATTCAAGGAAACGAGAAACACTCGACGAGATTTAATTTTTCAAAATAATTAATGGTACCAGTTCTTCAAACGGCGATCTATTTCCTATGGTAAATGCGAGTATGAAATAAGTTCTTGCGAAATAGGTACATAAGTTAGGACAATAATTAATATAGACATATACAGTGCGGTTCAAAGATCACGCGACAATGGAAAATTTTGCAAAGGGAAAAGTCCCTAAATCTCCATTATTTACAGAGTACAATATTTGGGATTTAAATTTGGATTAATTATTATCAAAACTGGTGGAACACTGATGACATAATTCATAAAATTTTGAATTTCAGAGACAAAATTTCGGTAACTAATGGCAATTTCCGAATTTCCCCCATTGCAAAATTTTACATTGTAGCGTGCAATTTAAAATAACCCGAGGTAAATGCATATGTATTTCTATAACGACGCATTTTGAAACGAAACTACTTGGAAACGTTTAATATACTAAAGTAAAATCCAACCATAAATATGTCTACCACATAATTGCGGTAAACTTCTCTAAGCGAGATTAAGTAAATTCTTCATTCGAAATTTAATTACCTGCGACTTGGACTGCCATTATACTGACCATTAATATACCAGAAATTTTCAACATTTTGGGGAACAATGGAATATGTACGCTTCTGAAGTTTTAGAAGTCTACTGACGTGCACATTTTCCATTCCATGGCGTTCATACTTAGCTAAAAAATTAAATACATTCGAGATTGAAACGAGCGATATTTCGCTCGCATATTTATTGGGAATCATTTTCCTTCTTAAATAAGTTACGTGCTTGTTGGAAATAATACATATCCATCCAAAATCCACACGAGATTTACAAATAAAACCTATTCATACTTCCTGTCACGAAATAATTAACAATTGTTGGAAATACGAAGTGAAATATATTCCTCAATTTAAATCGTGATTAAATATCTGTACATGAGGAACCTCAGGACAATGGCAAAACGCAAATAGGATTCCTTTATTTTATTGTGCAACAATTCTGATTTTGAAATTATATATTCAGATAAATTTAAGCGATTGAATGTGATTGTAGATAAAAAAAATAATCGAATTTGTAGAAATTCTGTTTTTATGGTACCGACTTATTTAATTAGTACAAATACATGAATGAACAAATGGATTGATGGCATGGCGTTCAATTTGATAAGTTTCGGGTGCAAAAATCCTTCATATATGTATGTATACAGTATACTTGTATAGATATGTACATACATATGTATACTTCGCCATATGAGTAATTTAGTATCATAGTATTATACACAGCGCCCGAGCTTGGATAGTTGCTCCCGGAGCAAAATCGTGATGGCGCCCCTGTGGTAAAAGTTTTCATATAGTATGCACTTTGAATGCTTTCTTCCTCAACACTTTTTTTAAAGCGATATTAGTTTTTCATACAAATACAGATTTAATTTTTAAAAACGATACGTATGTATGTTTATTGCTATAATTGTAAAAAAGAAGGAACCCTTTTGGGGACCTATTATCAATGATTTTCTGTAAACTTTAATAGACGAAATTTTGGGCAACCATTCTGCACACGTGTTAATTTACTAAAATTTCTAATGGAAATATTAATTGTGTGCTCAGTTTGTTATGAGTAAATTAAAATTTCTGAAACTGGTAAAGTTATCTTAGGTTTTACTCAATACCAGATACACTACAGAGTTGTAAAATTGTGTTGATCAAAATTTTCTAACGATATGACGATGGAAGAATTTTTTGGAGAAAATGATGTCGTGTTCACGCAATGATTCCAAATCTCTATGTACATAGCAGAGTAAGATCGGTAAAGTACGTATGAATATACACTCTAAATAAAAGTTGTGCTAAATTTGCCAAAGTTTGTGTGAAAAAGAGGATGACACAACAATTGAGTAAACTTTGTCCAACCGTTATGCAAAATTTACACAACTTGTGCAAAATTTAACTACCTGTTGTGTAAAATTTAACCAACGGGTGGACAAATGTTACTTAATTGTTGGGTCATCTTCTTTATCACTCAACCTTGGGTAAATTTAATACATCTTTATTTAGAGTGTATGAATACACTTCAAATAATCCGGTCTTAATTCGATAATGTGTCTGGCATATTAATGACTCCACCTTGTTTGACGGCAATTATTCTCACCACCGGTGACAATCGTTATCACAATGGTGACAAATTTACACCAAATTAACACAAAAGAAATTTACACCCGCGTGACTACCCCGGATTTTTTGGAGCGTTCATATTGTCACTTGATGCTTTTCATGCAAGAAATTTCGGGTACCACACAAGATACCATACAAAATCATCCTGACAATGCTAATTGTTCTGACATTAACTCGGCTAAAATATTCACAGAAACGCTCTTTTTAATCAAATCCATCTCTCTCAATTTTACTTGCGTCATTAGCTACTTAGTATGCTGCATTGTTTTACTTCTTTTCGTAATCTAAATTACTCTCAAACGGTAATACAAGCTGGTCATGTTTATAAGATGAAATGTTAATATGAAACTAATTGTGGTAGGTCTTACATAAACAATGGAATGAAAATTTCAAAGCCAAGGTATTGAATTATTCAACTTAGATAGTAATCAATCAACTGTCAATTGCTTATAAATCCGTCAGTGCCCACCTCCCATAAGATGAAGTTGCTTTTAATTAAAAATACTTGACTTGTGCTGAGGCACGTATTGCTTTCCTATTTAAGGAAAGTATACTGCCATGCTTCTTCACAGTCTGAACAAGTCTTTAAATAAGTCATCAAACAGCTAACTTACTTACAAATACAGATAATTTTCACATTACACCCGCCACTTGGGGAGATTGAGAATGAATAATATTTCCAATCTAACTTTCACCCTGGGTGTCTTGATCATAGTATTAGCCCAAGGTTAATTAACGCGTTTATTATTTTTAATCTAATCGACTATTTACTACCTTGCAGGAAATGTTAAAAGTTGCGGTATATAATTAAGTATTAACAACGCAAATTACAAATAAAATTTATTTCCGCAGAAATTTTGTATTAGGGATACCCATGGTCTTCCGACCCCGGGTTTTACTGGTTTCAATTGTTGCAGGTTTAAGTGGGTTCACCTCAAATTTAACGAAATAAGCCAAGCAAAACAATTTATTTGTATTTCGTTAATGTTCGCATGATTTCACAATTATATGCAACTTTTGCGTTTTATTATTTTGCCCCAGCCCAGTGAGTGAAACCAAATAAAATGCAGTATTAATTAGAGCATCGATCCTGGGCCAGAAATTTAAATCTCGTTTGCCACCCTTTCTCACTTGCCGCGCACTGGCACACCCATCCTTGCTCGCATGCTCTCTTTCTTGGACCAAGCGAAAAAGAGTAGCAACAGATTAAAATTAGATTAGATATGATTTAGATTTAAATTTCTGGGCTAGGATCCCTGTTCTGATTAATATTTGCAAAAACCCCAATGTAATTGTTTGATCTGCTGCAACCCATATCAATTCAAACCGAGATATTTTTTTAGGGTGTCAGGCTGAACTTTGTGACGATACCACGGTTAACATGGAATGCCCAACCTACAACCGGTGTCCCGACGGGTGGGGTAAATACTTCTCCGAAGGATCTGGAGGATTCAGGAGATGCACCTGCTATCGAGGGTTAACAGATGAGGAAGCCAAAAAGCGTAGCGAATGCCGCTGCAACTATTATATCACTGGCTGCACCCATCAACCATGTTACTCCAGCATATGCGATAGCGATTGTAGAAGAGCGATCAGCAGATGCCCACAAGACATCAAGAACGATTTGTGCAGCGGCGATAGAACTGATTACACAAGGTGGGAGAAATTTTGCCCCAAGCCGACAACCCCGTTTGACCCACTCGCGCAACAATTACACATTGAAGAACTTGTAAAGGATATATGCGCTACTCCGATCGATTACATTTGTGAACTTACCGGGTTACGTCTTGATCAAATTCTGAATCTCGCCGGACTCAATATACCCCTCTTAAGTTGCGAGGAACAGTACGCCATTCTATGTCAAAAAACTTCAACAACTACCAGACTGCCCATTTTGGGTTGATTTATGTAGTTGATCTATATATCGTCGTCCTAATTCTGAAAACCCCTAAGTGCAGTCTCATCTTAATTTTAAATACCCCTAAGTGAAACTGCTTCGTAATTTTAAAAAGCCCTAAGTGCCGTCCCTCGTTAATTTTAAAAACCCCTAAGTGTATTTTCGCATTAATTTTAAAAAGCCCTATGTGATACATAAAAACGAGTAAAAAGCCCTAACTGCAATTCAAATTTAAATTTCAAATTATGCATAATTAGATGTGATAAAATACTATACATAGATGTGATAAACTCACACTGTGTGAAATTTTTTTACCACAAATTAAATTTTGAAGATATGTATTAAACTTACCTGTGCCATTCTTACTAGGATTACAAATTTTTCCGCAAAATTTCAGAAATTTCAAATTTTTCTCAAAAATTTCAAAAATTTCAGAAATTTCGAATTTTTCTGATAAATTTCAGAAATTTCGAATTTTTCTGAAAAATTTCAGAAATTTCGAATTTTTCTGAAAAATTTCTCAAATTTCGAATTTTTCTGAAAAATTTCCCAAGTTGAGAATTTTTCTGAAAAATTTCAGAAATTTCGAATTTTTCTGAAAAATTCCTCAAATTTCGAATTTTTCTCAAAAATTTCTATTTTTTTCATTTGAATTTTTTTACAAATAGAAAATTTTGGAAATTTGACAGTGAAGGTGAGAATTAAAAAAGTCCACTATATTTCGTGAGCGTCCTTTGTAAAACATCTAAGAATGGCAGAATCAAAATTTAATTTCAAAATTTAATTTGTGATAAAAAACGTCACACAGTATGAGTTTATCACATGTATAGTATTTTATCACATCTTATTATGAATAATTATGCATAATTTGAAATTTAAATTTGAATTGCAGTTAGGGCTTTTTACTCGTTTTTATGTATCACATAGGGCTTTTTAAAATTAATGCAAAAATGCACTTAGGGGTTTTTAAAATTAACGAGGGACGGCACTTAGGGCTTTTTAAAATTACGAAGCAGTTTCACTTAGGGCTATTTAAAATTAAGATGAGACTGCACTTAGGGGTTTTTAGAATTAGGACGACGATATGTTCTTACTTATACGAATTTGGACCTTACAAAAACATTGTTCCTTACTCTTCTTTCTCCTATTGTAATAACAATTCGACTTTAATCAAATAAAATACATGAAGCATACATTAGTGATGATCTGCATTTATTGGGCATGGAATTTCAATTCATCTGATGGTGCACTGCACGACAATAGGTTTATCTCACCCCATGAAAGAATCATATCTCAAAACCTACTGGTTTTGATTAATCAATTTTTTTTACAGCTATTTTCAGTAGCCAATTTAAGTAAAGTTCTTGCGTGTACATAGTGTAGGATATAAGTTTAGTGTGATTAAAGAAACTTGGAAGATGAACAATTTAAAAGAAGGTTAACTCCAGCTAAAAAATACACAGGATTTATGTATATTGTCCTTTGCAATGCAGATACCAAAGTTAATAACCTGTGGACCAAAAATTTCTTGCTTATGTGAGGTTTGGCTCAATTGTATTCAATTGTGATGATTAAAATTTTGTAATCAATAAGAATGAAAATTTTCGAATTCCAATAACTCAATTTCTTAATGAGTGTTTTCTAGTCTTAGTTTACCATCGCTATTGACTGATAAATATATGTATGTATCTCTGAGATCCAAAGCATGTATTTAGAGATATTGCTCAGGATATCAATTTCTACTGATCCATACCACAATTTAAAAATAAGTTTAGAATGTTTTGAAAAAATTGCACTTTTCCCACTTCAAAACCGTTCGATTACCAAATTTATTACCGATAAATTATTACCTGCGTGACTTTACCGGATTATTAAGAGTGTATACTTCAATGTTTGACAAGTTATTTTGATAAGTTATGGTCCAAGGTTTCTCATGGACAGATACTTAAGCCAATACATAAGCTTAAATACTTATGTACATATGTAGCTATGAATTTGGTATTATATTTCACCTCGTATTGCCAACAATTGTGAATTATATCGACAGGAAATGAAAATCAGAAAATCTGTGACGATGTCTACTATACATAATTTTCGTGGATCACGCAACTTCAAAAGGACAATAACGGATAATGGATTTTGGGATTTAAATATCTCTCATTTCAATCTCAGAATTATTTTATTTGTTAGCCAAACATGAACCTGACTGATATTAAATTATGGAAGAGAAAATGTGGAAATCAGTAGACTACTGGCGTCGAGTAAGGACTCAGAAGTGAGTGTATCCGTCTTCCCACAATGTTGAAAATTGCTTGTATATTAATTGCCAGCATAGCGGAAGCCCTAGCCGTGTCCTCCACAGGTATGGTATTTAATTCAATTTCCAGTGAGGAACGAGGCGGTTAGTGAGTTGTTCTAGCTTATTTTGGCAAATAATTTTATGGTAATAATGGTTTATCTTAACTATTTGGAAGTCGAGCAGTTTAGCGAAAAAAATCGCCAAAACAAAATCCAATTTGAGGAAAAACAAATGTCACCCACTGTCAGGCATTTTTAGTGCAAGGTTTTTAAAGTACCATTTGGCGATAACAATGTCACATTTGGCGAAAATGTGACATTTATGTATTGGCTAGGTTCAGAAAAACCGGTAAATGGTGTTGGACGAGTTGTCGCAAAACTCAAAACGCTCTTACACGTGTCTAATAGAATCAAAAATTAAGGTACACGTGTTCGCGCGTTTTTTCGCGAGGTGCCCCAAATTTTTCATTTCGCCCCAAATACTGGGAAAAAACATTGTGACGCTACCAGTGCGGTGATTGATTCCAAACTTGGCATATAAGCCTTATTTGGCATTGCCCACAGTGCCTGAGAGACTTGGCCGCCTAGGTTGAAATTTACAATGCCAATTACCTGACAATTTTTACAATTTTTTCGTTTTTTCAACACAGTTTCCTAGTTTATGTAATGGTATCTTTGTAGCTTTATATCTCTACAGAAACCCTATATTCTGCTTCGAATGCAGCTCCGCTGAACCTCATAGCTCAAATATTAAGGGTACTTTGTAGGAAGTTCGATTTTGATGGAAGTTCCCACGAAGTAACCCTAATGCTCATTTTATCTATTAGTTTCAGTTCGATTTACCCAAATTTTTGATATGTTATACATATTTTGTAGTCAAACAATCGCTAGTTGCAACAAATGTCGAAATCGACCTGCGTGACCTTTTTCCAGAGGTCAGAAGGAAACGTCGAGCACTAAAGTCTCACATAACCCCATAACTGGGGTATCGTTGGAATGGTCTCGGCATACGGAATAAGAATATATATACTTTATAGGGTCTGTGAGTGCTCTCTGTTGTTCCAGGGTCATAAGAATATTTTCGAGTTTTCATCAATCTGCTGCCATGTTAGTTCTCAATCTGCTCCTGTGTTAACGGCTGTATACCTGGAAAAATAAAACTCAATAATTCTCATTGGTCTCTAAATTATTAGGGGGTGGTCCCAGACCCAACAAAGTATATATATTCTGAATCCTCTCTCCGAGACCATTCCAACGATACCCCAGTTATGGGGTTATGTGAGACTTTAGTGCTCGACGTTTCCTTCTGACCTCTGGAAAAAGGTCACGCAGGTCGATTTCGACATTTGTTGCAACTAGCGATTGTTTGACTACAAAATATGTATAACATATCAAAAATTTGGGTAAATCGAACTGAAACTAATAGATAAAATGAGCATTAGGGTTACTTCGTGGGAACTTCCATCAAAATCGAACTTCCTACAAAGTACCCTTAATATTTGAGCTATGAGGTTCAGCGGAGCTGCATTCGAAGCAGAATATAGGGTTTCTGTAGAGATATAAAGCTACAAAGATACCATTACATAAACTAGGAAACTGTGTTGAAAAAACGAAAAAATTGTAAAAATTGTCAGGTAATTGGCATTGTAAATTTCAACCTAGGCGGCCAAGTCTCTCAGGCACTGTGGGCAATGCCAAATAAGGCTTACATGCCAAGTTTGGAATCAATCACCGCACTGGTAGCGTCACAATGTTTTTTCCCAGTATTTGGGGCGAAATGAAAAATTTGGGGCACCTTGCGAAAAAACGCGCGAACACGTGTACCTTAATTTTTGATTCTATTAGACACGTGTAAGAGCGTATTGAGTTTTTCGACAACTCGTCCAACACCATGTACCGGTTTTTCTGAACCTAGTCATTACATTAAGTATGTACTTATTCAAGTAAATGTTTCAGAGTAACTTTTGTGTTTTTAAAAACATTTCGTATACGTCAAATATGTTTACCGCGTGTTAATAAAATTTCTTTGTAGCACTAAAGCTGAAGCTGAGTGTAGCATGAAATTCATAGCATGTACAATTAATAATAAAGTTACAATTTGTAGCGTACTACAATTCATAGCACATTTATTTCACACATATAATAGGACTGACAACTGATAAATAGCTTAATACAATTCGCATCAAAACAATTCGTGGTGTTTTTTGTCAGCCAAAATTAAAAATTTAAACTATGTACAGGTTGGTTGAAATGTAAGGTTACAATGGAAAATTTTCAATGGGAAAAATTCGTAAATCTTTTCTAGTTAACGAAATTTTGCCTCTGAAATTCAATATTTTAAGAATTTTGTCATCAGTGTTCCATAAGTTTTGATAAAAATGAATAAAAATCTCGAAACCTCACTCCCATCCGTAACTAATGGAAATTAACGAATTTTTTCAATTGAAAAATTTTCCATTTAAATGCATTTGGACGGTACTATTTGAGGGCATTTTGACTTGGTTTTATTGATTATTGTTTCGATCGCTTACAGCAGATCATCATCAGGCATAAATTAGTTAGAAAAAAAGAGCTTCTACAACGTTGTTTGGATTTTTGGAAACTTCAATGACATAATATTCATATATACATTAAAAAATTTAAAACAATTTCATTGTAACCTCACATTTAAACCACCCTGTATGTAAACTCCTCAGCAAACTCAATGCCTGAACCTTCTACATATGTGCATAAATGCACATATGTAGAAGTTAACTCAACGATGAGTAGATAAAATTTGCGAAAACAGAACGAATGATTGAAATATGTCCAAAGTTATACCAATTTCGCGTGTAGTTATTGTACTTATATATAATTACTGCTGCAGAAAATGCAAAAAATTGATAAAATAGTAATACATAAATTGATTAGAAAAAATCATCCGGGTCTTATGATTTACATAAATAATATTTCTTGAATTTCGCCAGTGGGACTCCATGCAGACTATTTGGCCGCTTGTAATTCAACATCAAGATGTCAAAAGCAGGGAATGTATTGTTGGGAAGGGGTCTGCCAATGTCCGCCCAACAAGGCTCCGATCATGCTTCGAGGGGAGCTCCGTTGTCGAGGTGGGTGTGGATGCGTGTCCGAAATTTGTTGGAAAGGTTAATAAATTAAATGATCTTGACTTTATGGGTTGCAGAAATAGTGCAAATAAAACGGATTTCTACTATTGAAGTACGTATATTAATCGACCTTGACATCTGACAAATTTCGTTAAAATTGCCTCTTAAAATAAAGTGTATCACCATCCAATACATGCGGTTATTGAGTAAAAACAGGACTAGATACAGTTGCCAAGGAAGTGTGAGGATCTGGGGATGAGGCTTCGACCAGAACAACAGAAATTAAGAAACTTTCCCTCCCTTTAATGTTAAGCAAACACACATTTCCCCACAGTTCGTCCACCAGTGAATTAAATATCTTTATTAAATGTTGTATTTAATGGAATTAAAGACATTGTGCACTCTTAGAGATTGGGTTACGATTATAACCAAAAAGGGAAAATATGTGAATCAACCGCCGTGGTTAGAAATTTGTCATTGAGTGGTTACAACTGTCACCGACTAATTATAACGACTCGCCGACTTGTAATTAAATTGCCACAAGAGCTAATAAATTTATAAATAGTTGGTGACAAGTTTATAACCATTTCGGTAGAGTCATATAAATATGTTTACTTTTTTGTTATAATCGTAACCCTATTTCTAAGAGTGTTTCGTAACCCTAGCTGGGAGAGAGCTCTCCACCAGGATTTTCTCATGTCCACTTTTCACCAAGTTTTAATCAAGTTAAAATTAAACGCCCAGTGCCATTTAATGGCTTTGGGCATATATTTCAATTTCCCATTTAATTT